CCCTTACCGGAAGTAACAGACCCGAAGGTGCCCGTTCCTTACCGGAAGTAACAGACCCAGAAGGTACCCGTCCCTTACCGGAAGTAACAGACCCTGAAGTTGTCCGTCCTCTAACGGAAGTGGTAGACCCACGTGTTGTAAAAGTTTTGTCAGAAAGCGAAGTTTTCGTTTTTTTTACAGGATAAGAAGTCAATGTTCTAGACGTCATCGGCTTCCTACTTTCGCTCTTTGGAGGTTCTCCTTTATAAACAGCGGTGCTAGATTTTATCTTCCTGCCAGAAACATTTGGCGCCTTAAACAGATTTGGAGTGGATACAGAGTTTTTATCGATTCGGGATCCTCTTGTGGAGAGGCGATGCAATGTTAAGGCTTCCTGGATACAAGAAGCTGCTAGTTTCAGTCGTCTCTCGATATCGTCACAACGTCGGGCGTCTGGTGATGGGCACAAGGCCTTGCTGAAGGAATCTGAAAAGTGTTCCGATGGCAGCGTCTCTAGTGACGAACTCTGAAACACTCCGCCCTGCTTCATTTCGCCTGCAACCGGACTCGAGGGGCACGAGATGATTTCCTGATTACGAAATATGAGGTTAATTTCAAATATCTGGGTATGATAGTACGAAATAAAAATTACATTCACAAATAAATGAAGATCACGCTACGAAATTCAGGGAAAGCTTAGTGCCAAATTATATACTTTTTATTCGGTCTTACACTTTCCCGATCTGGGACAAGAGATGTAAGGATTTCGTCCATAGAACCAAAGAAGTCCCTCTCAGAACTCCCAGTGCGAACTTGTAAGTCTGAATTTTGTTTATGGGCCTTCAGTGTGTTGTAATTTGTTGCCGAGAGGTCAGTAACACTTGTGAAGGCAGTATTATCGTCCTCAGTATCAGACTTCGTCAAAAGGTTCACCAATTCCCTCAGCATCAGTCTCGCCGGTTCGCTTAACTGAGAGATTACTGTGCCAGGATTTATGTCTTCCTGTAACAAGGCACCAGATCAATGACTGCAGAATGTAGCTTGTACTGCTCATTCTGATCAGAATTCCTGTTTCGCACTTTAAAAACAGTCGTAATTACAGCACCCCTTCCTCTAACATTCAAATTTTGGCCACCAGAGTGCATGTGTTTCTAAACGCTCTTTTGGTGTTAAAAAATACTGTTCTTCACATTTATTTCCCATATTCATTATTCTTTTTTCCATTATCCCTACTACTCCTGTTTCATCTTGAGTTCAAAAAGGTGAACTTGAAGAGAAATTACTTTTTATATAAAAAACTTAATTCTCCAGAAAGATTCTCATTCAAAAAGCATGTTCTAGATCAAAAATAAGTGAAATCTAAGCTATTTTGTTTATAACATATACTTTCTAATCAGTAAATTCAAAGCTTCAAAGCCTCGATGTCGACTTACGCAGAATAAACACATTTTAACTTCATTTTTCAGAGATTAAATTCTGTATTTGTAACAAGGGGGGCGTCAGACTACTATTCACTGCTGTACGCGCATCACCTGATTGCCAGCTGCCATGCTCAGCTGTTCCGTAGGACAAGTACATTCTTCTCCCGACGTTTCGAGAACTGCTCGGAGCCCGGATTTCGTACACGTCACAACCACACGACAACCAGAGCGCCTCTCTATGCCTGGGGCGCCCGTTGGCGTCACATCATTCGGAGGTGAAGCGTCCATCCAACGCATCGTAAATCCGACGGCGCACAAAACTCTCACCACGTCTGACAAGTCCAAGAAAGCCTTGAAACGTAAATAAAACTCGCGTACAGATCACTTACCCTATCTTTTAATCCCATAGATTTTGTTGTTGTCTATGACGTCCATGTAAACAAAATTACTGAGGGTCAAAGGCATGAACTCCACACGTATCATATCTCTCCGCTATATGCGTGATCTCCACGCTTGGAACTTTTTTATTACAGTAAAATACTGTCTATTTATCCATAATTTAAGACACTGTGTGTATTCCAGAATTATCCTGCTAATAAAGTAATGATTATAGCATCCCGTCGCAGTCTAGGACGTAAGCCAATTGTTATTCCAATAAAGTACTACATAAATTATCACGGCTGTTAATAAACAAGCTTAACTACACGAGGATTTGACTTGTAAAAAATTTCACAATTCACCATTGCTGTGTTAGTACTAGTGATTTTATATTCCGCTATTATAAACAAAATGCAGTATGTCACTTGAACAGAGTAGATGAGATTATTTTGAAAAAACTATGTACATTTAACCATTTTAAGGTTCAACGGTAACAACATTAAACAGCTGCCTTAACGATTAAAAACTTTGCATTTTGTATTTATGGTATTCGTTTTATTCTCACTGAAAAAAGTTATTATTAAACAGCGTTAACCATTTGATATTTGTAATAAAGTGGTGTCTTTTATTTGCGGTAGGAATTAATTCAATTCACATTAGCTTCGAGTTCAAAGTGTTAAGGTCTTATCAATGTATTTACTTATTTAATGTGTCTGTAAAATAATAATATTCTGTATATTACAAAAGTATATTCGATATTTCAATGCAGTTAAGTGGACATCAATTTCCATAAAACCAGATTATTACTGTTAATACTATAATATAGAATATTATTGTTATTATTATCATTAATTTTAATTGATTCAAATTATTTTTACAAATATCCTAATATATTTAGTAGCAATTTTCTTGTGTATTTATTTTTTCCGTATCAATGTATTTTATATATTGCTTGTTTTACTTTTTATGTTTTATTGTGTTCGTATGCTGTATCTGAAATTGGCCATCAGGCTGTTCATACAGCACACAAATAATAAAGAATTGAATTGAACTGAATAAGTATTAATATTTTCTGATCATTCTAGTAGTTAGAAATACGAAATTTAAATTATTCCATACTACACTGCAAAACCTAGCATGTAACACAATCACAAACATCTGTTCGTATTTGTTTCTGATATAAACATCCCATAGCCTTTAAATGAAACGCTGTAGGTAAAAATTCTGAATTACTTACTTCCTGTACAGAGTCAGGCGTGGCCATGTGTACAGAACGGAAGACAACGATTAAATACAGCCCGCTTTAGTCACAAGCTAAACAAACACTGGAGTATATTTACAACTGCAAGTAGCTGTCGATAGTTTCAACGGGCATGCTTCAGAAACTCACGAGTTTGACTCAGTATCAGACACACTTACCTTCTAGGTAATAAACAGCATATCAAGAATTGCTGTTTCCCAAAGCCGATACCAGAAGCGAACACGTAAACACAGAACTGTATATAAAGTGTTCCCAGTTTAAGAACGTGTCAAAATGTCATCATAACAAATGCGGGATAAGGAACGTACAAAGAACCGTTCGTAATATTGAGCATCATAATTTGTAACATAACAGTAACATAATGATGACAGTGGGATTAACTCTTTAAATTCCAATCGTAATTCTGTGTACCACAACATTTAATACCCACAGAGTGTATTAATCTATTTCGTATGAATCTAATAATAAACAGAAATTATTTTCGTAAGCAGTCTTAACAAAGTCATCTTTTAAATGGGGGAGCGCTTTGTGTTTTC